AGCTTCGCTAACATAACTTTCAAGTACAGACCAAGCCCTAGATTTTGAGACTCTATATTGATATGTAAGAGCTTCACTTTTGACAGTTTTCCCCCTTAAATTCAGGTGTCACTTTTTCTAGCTGTTAGTAAGAAAGAACGCATAATATAGTCCCTGCTCTGAAGTGCTTATATTCTTTCTAATCAATTTCTCATCAGTGTAGCATAAAAGCCACCTTTACCTATATGGCCTGATCTTAGTCTCTTTAAGCAAAATGGTTGCCAGTTTTCTCTCTCTATTTATAAAAAAGTTTTTCCTGCTGGATGACAGAATAACATCAACAGGCACTCTCGGCAATGTGAAGGTGGCCAGAGAGGGGGTGTAGCGAGCAGAGGGTGCAGCCCTGTAGTATTGTTTTAATCATTTCTTGTAAACGTCTCTCCTGTCTAGTGCATTTTAGTGGCATGCCTTAGGTTTTCTCCTTCAACATCCCTATTAATAGTTCTTTAGTTTTGGCAGGTGTGTGTTAAATGTTAACACTTTTTTTTTTGGATGTTAAACTGCTATTTACTTATGGTAATTTCTAGTCATTTTTAGGCGACTGTCAAGAGCGAGACCGACTAAGGAGCAAAATTTGTCAGGGATTTACAGTAAATACTCTGCTTTTGGAAATGCTGTCAGAAGTTTGTTAGGTTCAAATGAGTTTGTCATGTGCCAGACAGAATCAGTCTGTTATAATGAACTGGTCATGTACTTCCACCAACAAAAAGGGAGGGTGAGAAACCAAAGACTGCTCAGGATTTCCTATCCCCTTGTAATACAGAGTGGGGAGGAGGGGGTGTGCTGCTTAACCTAGCCTGTAATTAGGTTCTACATGGGAAGCATATATTACTGTGCTTGCGTTGCCAAAGCTCTTCAGTATGATAGATGAGATTTAAAGGTTGATCTGACTAAATTGCAATGAGAATACTAACGACAAAGATATTTCTGTTGTGAAATATTCCTACCAGGCATCATGGCTGTGGCATAAATGCTGTAAGATAATGGATAATAAAAGTCACTCGAAAATAATACTCTCCTAGGACTGGACTGCCTTCTACACCACACGTACTCTGAACCAGGGAGATAATGTAATCATAAGCCTAGATCATCATTTTAAAATATAGATAATCTCATATAGCATCTTGACAGATTTATTTTATGAGCAAGCCAGAGAGAGAACATTATGGGCAGCAGAGAGGAAGAAAGTATTATTGTATTAGTGGTTACTTTGTGTAATAGTTTGCATAACTTCACTCTTTCAGGGAGCCTACCTTAATTGACATACCACTCACTAGACATTGGGGAAGTTTGTTTCTGTGTGTAAGATGTTTGATTTCTATGTCAGTCATTGATTGAAGAGCCTGCTCATCAGATAACAGTATTAGAGCTTTTATGCACAGTTATGTGTTGGATCCCTCTGTATGTGCCACAGTGTGACTGGCAGGAGTTTAATAGGGCACTCACTTGAATGGGGCCAAATCATGCACCGATCTGAGAAGGTGTGAATTTTGATTGCTTACTTTGTTGCATTAGCTATTTTCATCTAATCCAAACGTAGACTTTCCCCCATTCATGGTCCCCAGGGTTTGAGAGTGGGGAATAGACATAGATAGTAATTGGAGGAAAAAAGTATGTTTGTGGGTGTGTAGTCTATATCAGTGTTTCTCAGCCAGTGGTAGGGGTACTTGAGAGAAGTCTGGGGGTATGCCAACACAACTGAAATTTGGAGAAAACTGAATTTTTGTTTTAAGTTTTACAGCACTTCATTATTTTTGTACTTTTTACACCCAAAAATTTCATTACATGCCCAACTACGATTAAGTTGTTTAAACAAATGTGTTGCAATGGTAGAAAAATTTTTTGGATGTCTTAAAACTGTAGATACTGGGGGTACTTATAATTTTTTTGTTAAAAAGGGGTACGTTATAAAAAAAAGGTTGAGAAACACTGGTCTATATACCATATTAATAATGTTTTACATTGCTGTATCACTTTGTATTTGATGACCTTAAAGCACATGTCAGATGTAAAAGGCCATTTGGCTAGGTACTACTCCCCTCATTTTACAGGTGGGAATACTGAAACTCATGATAGCCTTGTGGAAATCACTTAGCTTCGGGTTTCTCTTTTCTTATCACCTCCAAGAAAGGATTTTCAGAGTGCAAAGCCTTACTGTTTCTGGCATTGTTAAGGAGAGCAGTAATCTGTGTGGCTCATTTTGTGCTCATGGGAACATCCATCTCAACAGGCCCTAACGCAGTATGAAAAGATTTGTTATGCAGGTCCGATGAGGACAGTCCTTTCTGTGGAGGAAGTGGGCACTTGTTCTCTCTGTAGTACAGTTCTTTCTTTTGTCAATTACCTATTAGGCTAGCTAACAGTGGCTCATCTGTGGACACTTAGGTTCGCTGACAGTAGCATTGCAGACAGCAAAAGGGACCAAACATCAACCATATGGAAAGCTGCTGGGTATGCCTGCCCAGGTAATAAGATGGAGGGGTGCTGGCACGGGACACAGACGTGTGTGGGTGCAACTACTGCTGCTTCACTAGCTACTTGGGAGGCTTTTTGCTCTAGTCATACTGATTTTTCATCTGGGAGAGAATAATTTGGCCTCTAGTTGAGTTTTAGGCATCCAGAGGCACATGCTAATACCCGATTAAGTCACAGCCACAGCTGTTGCCAAGGCTGGTTTGGAGAGGAGCTGCACCTTGGGCATTAGGTGCATAAGAATGTGAACACTGATGAGGTTCTGTTCCTTAATGTACATCTTGTAACTAATGATCTGGAGCTCCAATATCTAACAAGTGCCCTGGGCTCTTCTGCTGTATGAAAGACACCTGTCAGATATCTGCAGGGGTTTGTGGAATTTTTTGTTTTGTTTTGTTTTTGGCTGAGTGGAATATTTGAATCAAAGAGTAAGAGCAAGAAGAGATCTGTGTGGTATTTAGGTCCTGTGATGGAGTTCCCAGGAGAATGTGCAATGTGGGACCCTTCAGGTTAGGGGGTTCATTTAACTTAAATGAGGAGAAGTGGTAAATTGGCACCTTGGTTGACAAGTTGCTGTGGCTTGGGCAGATGGAAGTGGAACTGACTGAAGACTAAGATTTAGGAATGGGATGCAAGTCAGGGCAGAATTTGGTTCTAGACCTCTGCATTTCTGGCTATAAAAAACGGTGGCTACAGTTCTTTGGGCTCTTACGCTGGTGATTTTTAATTATGTTGTAAAGACTTGACTTTGTTTATTTCACAAGTGTTAGTAACAATGCAGCTGAAGTAACAGATAATTCCATTTCCAATCTAAAAGCCTTTTTTGTTGGTACTTACGTATGTTGTCTCTGGCTTTGTAAAAATTCCATTTTGCTTGTGACTAGTACAGTCTTACATAAATGAATATACTGTAGTAGTAATAACTGTACTTCTGAATGATGATAGTGGAAGCTAGGATGTCATTTTCATAATTGCTTGATAGGGGAATTTCTTTTGCGGGTGAGTGTATTGGAGCGTGCCCTGGCATACACTTTCCTTTCATCTCATGCCACACCTTCAAATACAGGGGCAAACATTAGAAAAGCCTATTCTCTTAGTAGCTGAGAGAGAGTACAAGGTTCCGTGAGGTTTGCTTGGTTAGTCTTTCTTCTGCACTGTCAAAATCTTTATTCTTCTTTTCAGGTGGATAGCTGCATTTAGAACGGGGATGTAAAATCCCGTTGTTTAACCAGTTAACTGATTAAAGGCGGGGGGCAAGCCCCCACACTGGGCTGGAAACACCCCTCCCCCCACGCCGCATACAGGGGCTGCTGCAGCCTGGCCAGAGCAGCCTCCCTGCACCAGCTGGGACATCAAAGCAGTCCTGCTGGCCCACCACAGGCAGAGGCTGTGCTGGAGCAGTCCCTCTCTGTGGTGGGGCTCAGCGGGGTTGGGTCAGCCCTCTGCCTGTGACCGGCAGGGAGCTGCTCCAGCCCCATAGATTAATCTTAACTGGTAAACCTTCACATCCCTCATTTGGAATGTATCCCAAAGTATTGTTGATGTGTGTGCACATACACACACATCAGAAGACAGTTAGTTGTAAGTTTGGTATGTCCTACATGTTCAGAATGCTGTTTTCCTAGCTTTAAAGTTTGTAACTTCAGATCTGTTGCTGGAAGGAAAGCAGCATTATGCTGAGTTAATTGTTCTTTTCTGGAAATGTTTTAAAATTGGGTTCAACTCTAATTAATCATGTTTTATTTCCTTCCTTTGTTTCCAGTAAACTGTTTTCCCTACTGGTTTGGATACAGGCAGACAATCCTGCACCAGTAACTCCACTGCAAATATTTAGGTAAGCAGCATATTGAGTCACAATGGAACTGTCAGGTTTTGTGCGGTTGTATGCTTCCTGATGTGTCTTCTTTACAAAACTAAGTGCTTAACTGAGACAGTGTTGCTTAATTTACTTAGAATGTGTAGCTAAGTGTCAGCATTTTAATAATTGAAGTATGTTCCTGGCTTGTTTCTTCATATTAGGTCTCATCTTTGTTTTCTTGTGAGAGAAGTTTGTTTCTTGATTTTTGTAGATTTGGTGGGGATGCAGAGAGTGAGTCCCCCTTAGTAGCCCATGACCATTCTTGGAACACAGTACAGATTGCATATAAGCAGCATAGCCAGTTTTACTATTGTTGCATAATTGTAATTCGCAAGTTTTGTTCTTGTGCACAGAAGAGGCTGCGTTATGCTGCTTTCCTAAATGTAACATGCCATAAATCCTGTGGAACTTGCTGCTATCAGATATTGCTAAATCAAATGATTGTAACTTTCAAAAGTGATTGGACATTTATGCAAATTGTACTAGTATCTGCAGTTACACCAACGTGAGATAAAACTGGGCTATCTGTTGTGCTTCAGGGCATATGGGACCAGTGGTCATGGTAAAAAAAAGAAACTTCCCTTCGTGTCATAGGATTATACAATTTGTTTAGCATAGGGTTATTTTTCTTCTTCTGAAATTTATTGCATGGGCCGCTGACTGAGGCATTAGCATCGATGGGTCATTTGGTTTGGTCTGGCATGGCAGGAGGAGGAGACCTGACTGAATTTGCTACTCATTCTTTTCCTATACGATAGTTCTTGTGTCCCTGAACACTTCAATAGAAGTATTTCTATCATTTTTCATTTATAGGTAAACGAGAAGATTTACCCACTGTTGCTCGGGTCCTCAGCTCAAATGTTTGTTTTTTGGAAAATAAAATGAAAATGTACATACTTCATTTAAATCCTTGCTCTGGGGTGGGGGCTGAAGCTAAGGGGTTTAGTATGCAGTCTGCCCAGGGAAGGAGTACATGCCCCCCACTTTCCTCTCTCTGGCAAAGGGGAACAGCCAGCAATATCCCTGTGCAAATCGGATGTGTGTGGGGGGGAGATGCTTCAGGCCCCCCTCCATCTCTCTGAAGCGTGTCTGGGGCGGGAGGCTCAGGGCTGGGAAAAACACCCCTAGGCAGCCCCTTTCACCTGCCTGGTGATTCTCTCTGTCTTCAGTATGTTTTTCCGAGAAGCAATCCCATTCCAGGCACATCCCATTTTCCTGGCATAATCAAACCCTTACCTGCTTTAGGTTATAATAAGAGGAAGCTGTATACCAAATTTGGTAGTCCTAGCTCTTAACATTTAGGAGGAATTATTGAACAGACAGATATGCTCTCAAATATACCATAGAGTAAGAACACTAATTAATGACATCTTTATGCTTTATTGTTGTATGAAACTAACCAGATTGCCATGTGGTATTGGTAGGCTTATTAGATTGGTTGGCTATACACATCATTCAGAACTTATGTGGTCACTTAGAATTTATCCGAAATACTGCAAGAACCATAGCATGCCCTTAATAATTTTTAACCAGAATTCTTTTAAGTGCCATGCTTAAAAAAGCTATGAAAGCTTTCCTCTGTACTTCTTCTTTGAGCTGTGTCCCTGTGGGTGCTCCACTGTAGGTGTTCGATTGTCCTGGCACCACAGATTGCAGATTTTTCCAGCAGTAGTTGGTTAGACCACGCACATGCCATAGGTGTCTCATGGTGTTCACATCTTTACATATCACATGCATGAGTCAACCTTCCTTGGTTCCTTCTCTACCGTCCTTGGTTGCAGATGGAGTTTCAATGTTCTTTTCTTCACAGTTAGAAGACAAAAAAAAAAATTAGTTGATTTAAAATCTTATATTTATCATTATCTTCCCTCATTTAAATGGGGGGGGGGGGAATTATTTCCCAATATATCTACTGTGAAGGATGCTAGCTATATACTTTCTGCATTGTGGGAAGAGCATCCGAGTATGTCTATGTTGCAGTTGAAGGTGTGATTTGCAGGAGGGTAGTCACACTTGCACTAGTTTTAATCGGGCTAGCGTGCTAAAAATAGCAATGAAGATGTCAGGACTGTTTCCCACTCTGGCACGTTGACTGTTTCCCACTCTGGCACTCTGAGTGCAGAAGATAGGGGCCTGCAAGAGACCTTAAATATCTTGTCTCTATAGGCTCTGCTTACAAAAACTCCCCAGTGTCACAGATTCACTAACTTTGGGAGGTAGCTGCCACCATCAAGTGATTTAAACCCTGAAAAACAGGAAGAAACACTTGAATTCCTTCCCCAAGGGTATCTCAAGCTCTTTTGCCATAAGAGAGCTTGAAAAAAGGAACAAAAAACGCACAGAAAACAAACTGTTTCTCTGATAGCTGACCATTCAGGCTAGCAGGCATACACACACAGACCTCCTGTTATCTTCCAGGACACAGGGATCAAAACATCACCTTAAAAAGGGTGATTTTATTAACAAAACAAAAAGATATCCTAATAAAACATACATAGTTGCTAGGTGTTATGGAACAACTGAGGAAAAACAAATTAAAAACACAGAGTACATAGTCTTTCTAGGTACAGCTTAGATAGTGAATAGTGAGGCTCTCACGTGGAGGAAGAGAGCACGTGGATTTTGCACAGCGAAGCTTAACCAAACAACCAAAACAAAGAATACCCTGATCGCGACTAAATATACTTTTCCCCCTTATTTACTCATGGTCCCTTCATGGTCCATTTCCATGCCCAATATTCCTTGTAGGCATGGTAATTCTGACTACTACATGTTGCTCCCTCTAGCCCTTAACTTAGAAGTCCCACAAGGAAGAGCAGACCAGGTATCTATTCAGATTTCAGCACTGTATCTCATTGGTTCTTCTGGCCCCCTGCCAACACCCATGCTAGCTACCTGAGTTTAACCCTTTAGTCATCAAGTGCTGGCCAGCACTCCTCCTATCCATCACAGAAGACGATGTGGCACCAGTTTGTGTGGGCTAGCAATGTGATTCTGAACTTGTAGGGGTAGGCTTGCATGTCTTTTACTGAAGCCCAATGCAACCATGTCTTCACTGTGATTTTTATTGTGCCAGCCAAACTGAAGCTAGTGGGTGTATATCTACCTAAGCTGAGATCTTTCAATGTCCGAGTAGATTTACCTTCTATTTGACAAGGGTTTCTTTCTGGTTAACAAACTTGGAAGTAATATTGGACCCAAGATCTGGCAGAATTCTATTGCTCAGTGAAGATCTTTGATTTCTTTTAACTTAATTACTTTTGACTAATTTCTTTGGGTACAGATGGTGCTAAAATCTCTTGATATATTTTTTTATTTATTTCCAACGTCAGTCACATTTTACCTTTTAAAACCCAACATCTTAAAAAGAGAAGAGCCACTGAAGTATTTCACTGTGTTGATTAGCAGCATTGTACTAACACCCTTCTGACCCAGGAGGTGTAAAATGGTTAAAATTGGCTGAAAGAGTATTAGATTTGATTTACACTAAACAGCTTTAAGTGACATGGCTGTGGCAACACAGCTGTGTGGCTAAAAGTCTGGCAGTTGGCACTTTTGTCAATAAAATCTTCTACCCCATAGGAGCGGGTTTCTACATTGTGGGCAGGAGAGCCATGCTGTCGCTTTGTGGCCAAACTTTTGTCAAGAGAGAGGGGGGAGGGCTTTTAAAAACACCCATGAACAATAAAAGTTTGAGGGGAGTGGCTGTGTTAGTCTGTAACTTTTAAAAACAATGAGCAGTCTTGTGACACCTTAGAGACTAACAATTACATCATGAGCTTTCATGGGTAAAACCCACTTCATCAGATGAGTTGGAATGGAAATGACAGAATCCAGAGGCAATTTCCCTCACCTTTGATATTTCTAGTTTCACATCAAAAGCTATGAATGGGACACATCCAGCCTGACTCAATTAGGGTCATTAACACGGTTCCTACAATTGAGAGGTAACTACTTCTGCTGTTATATACTCTGGTTTCTGTAATTTCCACTCCAACTCATCTGATAAAGTGGGTTTTACCTATGAAAGCTCATGATGTAATTGTTAGTCTCTAAGGTGCCACAGGAGTGCTGGTTGTTAATAAAGTTTAGTCATTGAAGTGGCAATGTAGACAAAGCCTTCGCGTGCTCTACAGTCTTCTCCTGTTGAGTATAGGAAGAGTTCTGCCTGCAGGCTCCAGAATGTCACACCCCCATCCTGATTTGTATAGCCAAAATATAAGGTGCAAGTCTGTATTGATTGATTGGACTCTAGTAATTCTAAAAAGAACAGTTAAGAGCGAGAGGCACAATTTTTAAGTGCTCCCTTTCATTCAGTCCTGGAAAATAGTTATCCTAGTGAGGTTTAAGGGTTTGTGGTAGTTATCTCTTGGGAATTGGTGGGTTAGTCTGCCCCATGTTGTGCAGGTTTAATTAACAATGTTTTTAAAATGTATTAATTCTGTAAACACAGAAGTGAGTGACTAAGGTATCAATTAGTAATTTGATCTTCAGTATAATCCTTAGGTACAAATTTGCCTTTGAACATGTTTAATCCATATATTTCATAAAGGCAGTGAAACTTCAGCCCACAGTGTGGGTGTTTCAAATAATCTTTTCTATTTGTTTGTTGGAAAAACTACAGGCATCTGAAAATGGGGTTTGGAAGATGGAAGGTTGTAAACATTTGTGTAGCTTTTAGCTATAGCAGGAATTCCCAGTGTTCTCTGCTACATTGTACAGGCAGTCCCCGGGTTACATACAAGATAGGGACTGTAGGTTTGTTCTTAAATTGAATTTGTATATAAGTCGGAACTAGCTTCCAGATTCAGCCGCTGCTGAAACTGACCAGCGGCTGACTACAGGAAGCCCGAGGCAGAGTTGCTCTGCCCTGGGCTGCCCGGACCCTGCCCCTGGC